AGTCTCTTTCTCACAGGTTATCTTTGATTTGAAAGTTAAAGATTACAATCAGAATGCAGGTTCAATATCAGAATCCTGAAAATGAGAGGGGGAGTCCTCCATTTATAGTAAAGGAATTCAAGGTAATGATTACAAATCTGCAAGTGGGTAGGTGTCATGCAAGTCCTTCCTTGCATCCCATTGGCTGATAACTTAGGAAATATCCTCAAATTACCTAGGGCTTCAACAGGTGTGCGGCTCTCATTCACTCATAGACAAAACCTAAATCTGCCAAGTTGGTGACAGTCATATTCTTCCTGTCTTGGGGCGACGTGGCAACTCCTGTATGGCACAAAGCCTTCATAAACTCTGATTGGTGCTCACTAATGTAAGCTTACGTTAGCCCTGACTTTTTAGGCATAACAGTTGCCAACCTAATTTTATATTACATCGATTGGACACCATTTGGTCCCATTAGAAAAAAGGCCGAAAGGTTCAAAGAAATCGATCTAGTTCAAGACTAGTTTAGTAATGGATCAATAAATAAATAATGTAATTGCATGGCCCATATAGCTTGGAAGCAACATTTATTAATTATACATTAGTCCACACATTGCAACACATGAACTTTTATCCCATCTATCTTATTAAAAGTAGTTCAAATTCAACCAATCCATAAGAACTTTCTATATTTGAAGGAAAGACAACCACTTTTCTACTTACTAGCCTACTCAAGGAAAATTATCAACTTCATTCATCCATTGATATTTCTTCACCTTCGCCGGTTTGATTATCTTCAGTACCACTTCCGCGCAACACAATTGTTTCACTTAAAACCCAAGGTTCATAACAAATCAATAAAGAGTTTCACAATTGAACAAGAGGCTCAAAGCGATCAATATTACTGTATATATATATATAAGAATAACTTTCGTGTAATCATAAAAAAATTATGGTCCCAACTTGGACTAGTTTATAAATAATAATAAACTTTATAGTGTAATAACTTATAATATTTTTGACTCCGGTTTTAAGGAACTTGTTTTCACAAAGTAATAACTATATGTATATTACAAAAAATATATGTTACATTATATTAAAGGTTTAAGATGAAAAACATTAATATGTTTTTTTATACAATTGATCTCGTAATCAAATAATTTTTTTTTTTTTTTTTTTTTTTAACTTTCGTTTGACATTAATTTTTGTCCAAGGGAAAATAGATGATAAGAAGAAAATTACTTTACCCTAATTTAACTATGAGAAGCTAAAATCGATATTATTGCCACGTATGGCTTGGAAACAACATAGCACATGGACCTTTTATCTAATATCTATCTATGAAAAGCACTCCAAATTTAAGCATGCAAGAGGACTTTCTCTCTTGGAAGAAAACACAAATCCAACTTTTTCTAGGAACTAGCCTACTTATAACTAAATATGTCTTAAACACCAAAAAAGTATACAATAAGTCATTCTTGAAGTACCATTCCGAAACTATGAAGAGTCAATAATTCAAGGCTTCACATGCCATTTAATGAGTGCAAAGTTTTTCTTAAGTTCATCTAACAATACGTGTGATCAGGGGTGTTCGGGCTAGCTTGTGTGCACTTCAACTAATCTTTCAGGACCCTAAAGTTGACGACCAAATAAGCATCTCAGTGGGCACCCCTATTAGGGTCTGTGAGGATTGATAATCCTAGGATTATACTATTTTATCTATGCTTTTTAGCTGGATTTTGGATACTTCTTCTTAAGTATGTGCCTGAATTGTAACTTAATTTCATATATTTTATATTTCAGGCCAAAATGTACAGTTAGAGCAAACACTGAGTGGAATTGAGTTTCTGGACCCAGAATCAAGCGAATTCTAGGAATCAGGAAAGTTCTAATGCAGATTCGAAGCACTATGAAGCTTGTTCCTATTGGAGATCACAAAGATTGAAGATTCAAGCAAAGAAGTAAGCGGAGGGTAGTTTTTAAATTCAGAATAGTTCAGAAAAGTTCACCGCGATGAGAAAGTCTCGGGTTAGATTGTTCAATAAAAGCCAACTCAATGCCGCGGAGAAGTTTATTCTTCGCCGCGACGAAGTCTGCAATTTTCAAGTTTATTAAAACTGTGCGTTTTAATTGTATGGGATGAGTCTTAGGGTTAGGGGTCGACTATTTAAGAGAGACTTAGTTATTTTGAAAGGAGTTGGACACTGTTTGGAGAAAAAGGAGAGAAATTGAAGATTGGACGCCTTTGGGTTCATCAAATAGGGAAGATTCACTCTCTTTTCGTTATTCCATCATGTTGAACTCTGTGTTTACAACTTTTATTTTGATTTGCTTTAATTTTAGTATGAACTAACTCACTTTTGGGTTAGGGTTTTGATGTAATTGGGATTTTAATGTCTAATCAATAAATTGATGTTGCTTTTACATTCTATTGCATGGATTGTGTAATTACTCTTGTTATAAATGAAATTAATTGTTGAGCATGATGAGACTGAGAAGTGAATCATGTATTAGCCTCTTAGGGTAAATGCCATTGATTGATTGAATGCTAGAGATAGGTTTGAGAATCCATGAAATCAATTTAGGATTCCATTTAGCTTAACGGACTTGGAACTATTAACCTTCATTTTGTTAGATGCGGAAGCTTAATAGGGATAAGTAGGAAAACATAGCCTGAGAAGGTATGTTTTACATGTTAGGGTGTCCGATTTATAATCCTTGCATGTGAATGTAGAAGTAACAGAAATCGTAGATTAATTCATAAAATCCTAGTGAAGTCAAAACCGTAACCGCTTTGTCTTAATTGATATTGCTTTCATTAGTTAGATTTTAAATTGCGTTGTGAGTTTTGTTTTAATTTCAGCTTAATTGTCTCCCACAAATCCAACCATTTTTCGTTTGCTCCAACTTGATACAAATTAGGAAAATTAGTACTTGACACACAATCCTCGTGGGAACGATACTCTACTCATCATTCTATTACTTGTTGCGACTAATGCACTTGCTACACATTGCATGTTTATGAAAAATACGCATTAGGGATTCGAACTCATGAGTTCATGAAACCTTCTTTTACTCTTTTACCATGAAGCCACCCACCGGTGGTTATCTAACAAATACTCTTCCTCCTACAAATTGTGCAACTGTTGGTACTTGAACAGAAAAATTATATATCAGTTTAAGGAATATATCTTTCTTTATTCTAGGTCTTCACCTTTATTTATTTTGAAAATTCACATCTATATATGAATATTAAATTAAGAAAATTTACCTAAGATTCACAAAAATCGATAAAGAGTTTACAATTGAACATTAGGCCCAGACTTTGCACATGGTCCCTGTTTAATATCTCATTAACTAAAACTTCAAATTCAACCATAGTCTTAACACACATCTAAGTATCTATAATATTAAATTTTAGTTGGCATAAACTGTCCAAGAATGCTACGGACACCAGGACTGTGTACCGAAATCTTACACCGAATTATGTGTCACGTGACTTAGACCAGCCACGTATCTCATTAACAAATATTTTGTGAGTGAACGACCGTTCATCAACTTTGGACGGTCGTTCACTGTTATTGGATGGGAATCCATTATATGTGGACGCCCGTCCATGCGAAATGAACGATGGACTCCCGTCCATATTATATGGACGGGAGTCCATTTACTATGGATCGGGGGCCACATACAATGGACGCCCATCCATACTTTAAAAAAAAAATTTTAATAAAATGCAAGGATGCTCGTTCATCAGTTATGGACGACCGTCTCTGAATTTTGGACCCCCGTCCATACTATAAATTAAAAAAAAATTAAAAAAATTTATGGACGCCCATCCATTATTCAGTGGACGGGTGTCCCTCACAGATGGACAGGCGTCAACATATACTAGACGCCCGTCCCTAAATTTTGGACCCCCGTCCACATATAATGGACACCCATCCATCCTGTAAATTTAAAAAAAAAATGTATATAAATAAAGGGACGCCCGTTCATCAGTTATGGACAGTCGTCCCTTAACCTCTTCTTGTTTCCCCATTATAAGAAAAATTCTAGCTCTATTGATGATGATGATGATTTACAAGCTCTCTAGTTCCTCTCTTCCTTCTCGATACCTATCACCAAAACAAACCCACAAAATCTAAGCTTTCTTTGCACATAAAGATTGATTTTTTAAAGGTGCCCAGAAGTGAAAAATAAAAAAGATGATAAAAATTAAGCTAAAAAAAATCAAAGTTTTGAGATACCCATTTCGATTCTTTGGTTAGTTCAGTGGGTTGTTGAAAAAAAAAATTCTAGAAAACCCAAAAGTGAAACAAACCCAATGTGTTTTAAAATAGTATTCTAAAAACTTTAGATGGCCTTCTTCCCTCTGATTTTGTATCCCCACTATAAAGCAAAACCAATACACAGAACCTCAACTGCTTTCTTGATAGTAGTCAAGTATTAATTTAATAACAGAGGAAGAAGAGAATAAAGCTCGTCAAAATAAAACAAGATGAGAACTTCGAAGAAGAAGAAGAGCGTAGATGAGGAATGAAGACGAAGAAGAAGAGCGGAGATGGGGAATGAAGACGAAGAAGAAGAGGGGCTTGTATTTTTGTTTAGAAACTTTTTTTTGTTTAGAAACTTTTTTAATTTAAAGTTTGAACGGGAGTCCATTAAATGTGGATCCTCGTTTATAGTAAATGGACTATCGTCCATAAAATATGGACAAGAGTCCATCGTTTATTTCACATGGACGGGCATCAACATATAATGGACTCTCGTCCAATAACAGTGAACGACCATCTATAGCTGATGAACGGCCGTTCACTCACAAAATATTAGTTAATGGGATACGTGGTTGGTTTGAGTGACGTGACACGTAATTCAGTATAAGAATTCGGTGCACAGTCCCGGTGTTCGTAGCATTATTGTAAACTGTCTCTTTCTGAAGTTGAATAAGCTAAATTAATTTAGAAAGAAATTGGTACAACATTTGGTACTAGAACGGGAAACTTATGAACTTCATCCATCTATGGATTTTTCTTCCCGGCAGGTTTTATGGTCTTCAATGCCTTCCACATAGCACTGTTACACTTGAATCCTAAAACAAATGCAATCTGCCACGTTTGATCACCTTTCTTCATCCTCCCCATGGCCTCTGAATAAGCCAGTTCATACCACAGAGAACTACTTGAAGTATTCCTAAACCTGTAAAGAGTCATTCTTGAAGACTCTATATGCCATTCACTGAGTTCAAGGTGTTTCTCTAGTTCATCTAAAACGGCTTTCCCTCCTACATGAATACAAAAATGTTCGAAAGCCAACTTGAAATGGGAAATGTATGACTTAATCTTCATTTTAAAAAGTTTTTTAGCGACTAAAGTTACAACGAATAGAAGTTGCTCTGACATTGGAAAAACTAATGGCCCGAGTTTAGTGATATTAGTTTGAAGGGCTTCTCCGGAAATAGCCATAAGGTCTTTTGAGAGTGTGACTCCAATTTGTTGGGCCTCATCCTCTTACTGCAATACACATTTATAACATCTATCATAACTTGAAGCGACTGCGATCAGATGATCGGTTGGAAAGGAGGATGGCAGCACCACCCATTTGAAATAAACAGTTTGAGAGAAGCATCAATCGGTCATTACCAGAATACTAGTTCTTAGTGATGTTCTCTGTGCTCACAACTAGAGCACATGAATTGGGTTGCACCTGTTACAATCAAATTAAGGATGTGTTACGTTAGATTATATTTAAGTTGTCTTTAAATTTAAAATATAAACCAATGAAACCAAACTCGTATATAAATATGTATGTGTCATTGTTTAGCTCCCAATGCCCCTTAGTGTCTGCTTCGAAAATTTGTATCTAAATGATTTTTTAAATTCGTTATAAATTTGTAACAAGCCCCCTTTTCATATCTGTTTATTGATATCTACTGGAAATATGTTTGTATGAATTTTAAACATATATATTCTTTTTTTTTTTCAATAAAAATACTGACCAACTTAAACATATTAAAATAATTAACAACTCCTGAAGAAAAGGATATATATTTGAATAATTGAATCCAAACCTGTCGAGTAATTCATTTACGCAACTTATGAAACATGTTGCATTAATAGGTATATAGATTTTACGTAAAAATGGTAGTTGTCATGTGTGATTTTTCCATTCAGCTCGGAGAAGTCAAAAGCCCGCGAGGAACTAGTTTGACCCAGAATCAGTTCGACTCAGCGTTTGTCTGGCCCAACATAAGCTCTTTGAGATGTTAGCTCGACCCAGCACAATCTAGTCACGACCAACCCTGGCAGTAGTTCGACAAACCACAAATAAGCTCAAATCTCAGATATTTCAAAAGAGATAAGATCAACACCGAGGACAGTGCGATCTTAATGCTCAATCACGAAAATATCAGAGTTGCAATTTGAATCTGATTGCAATCTCGATAAATTCTCTCTTTCCTTTATCTCAAAACTTGTATATAAACCCCCACCAACGATGATGTAGGGATTATCAAATTATTCGAGGCAAACTTATTGTTATTCTTGTAATCCATCAAAAGCAATGAGATAATAGTTAGGGGTGGGTAAAATTTTAGGGTAGAACCGGAACCGACAGGTACCCAGGTATCGGTTTCGGTTCCAAATCAAAGGAATCGGAACCAAAATCGGGAACCGATACTAAATTGGTATAATATTAAAGAATATAGGTTTTTTTTTTTTTTTTAATTTTGCATATGGGTTTTTTTTTTTTTGATATTTTACATATCATATAAATATATAAGAAAATTTTGGTTTTTTATCTTAGGATCAAAATTCTTCTTAATTTTCATTAAAAGATCAGTTTTTAAAAATATTTTTATTAATATTTAAGTTTCACTTATTACTTGATTAAGAAATTAATATACATTAAGATATTTACGTTAAATAATAGCTTTTAAATATTTATTATCGGTGAAAACAAACAATTAAATACTTATAATCAAGCATCAAACATCAAGTAAATATAAATAAATATATTATTTAATGTTTTGCATTTAATTGTTAGGAGTGTAATTGTAATTTTATAAGGGTTTATTTGTAATTTTTTACAAGGGGGTTAATTGATATTTTCTAGGGTACCCAGAACTGGCCGGTTCCGGTTCCAGTTCCGATTCCTTTGATTTTGGGTGGGTACCTGATGCATATTTTCATAAACATGCAATGACTAGCAAGTATACTAGTCGCTCAAGTAATAGAGTGATGAGTGAGTATCGTTCCCACGAGGATTGGTTGCTAAGCACTAAGTTTTCCATTGTTCTCAAGTTGGAGCAATCGAAATCTTTTGTATTAATGGGAGCAATTTAACCTAAAACTGAAACAAAAATTACTGAACTAAGATTTAACTATGAATGTAAGCTGTAAAACACGGATAAAATCAATTCAAACAAACGGGTAAGGTTTTGACTTCATTCGGACTCTATGGGTTAAACCTAAAGAATTAAGCTAAATTCATATTCACATGCATTGATTGTAAATTGAACTCTCTAAAGTGTCAAACATACCTTCTCAGGCTATGTTTTCCTACTCTTCCCTATTAACCTTCCCCACCCAACAAATTGAAAGTTAATAAATCTAAGCTCATTAAGCACAAGAGTCCTAAATTGATTTCATTAATTCTTGAATCTATCTCTAGCATCCAATACTACAATGGTGATTACCCAAGAAGCCTAACATGATTCATTTCTCAATCTCATCATGTTCATCACATATAAACAGTAAATTCAGAGTAAACACACAATCAAAGCAAAATCATATGAAAAGAACACAATCAATTATTTAACCCATGAAAATCCGAATTACAATCAAAACCTTAACCCCAAACTAGGTTACTTCATGGCTAAATCAACAATACAAATGAAATCAACGAAAATACTAAAGTTCAACATAATGAAAATAAGATAAAAGACAAGAAATCTCCCCAAATAAAGAATCCACTAGTTCAATCCCGAATCTTCCCTCTCTTTAGATCTAAATTCGCTCAAAATGAATCAAACAAAAATGTAAAAAGCTGCTAACCCTCCTCGAAGACCCCTTGCAAAAAGACTAAGTTTTTCTTTTATACTTCTCTCAAAATTCTAAGAAAAACGCTAAAAGATAAAGCTGTGTGTTTTACAAAACTGAAAAAAATGCAGACTTCGCCATGGCGAAGAAGGAAACAGATCTGGTTCGTGATTGGTCCATTTTGCTGTGACGAAGAACAACCTTCGCCGCGGCGAAGCTTCTTGAAGAATTCTAAAAATTATAAAATTGCCCCTTTGCTTGATTCTTCGATCTTCGGTGCTCTCCCTTGCGAACAAGCTTCATAGTGCTTTATTCTGCTTCAGAACTCTCCCAACTTCTGAGATCCGCTTACTTCTGAGTCCAGAATTTCCAATTCTGTCTTTATTTGCTCAAAATGTCCATTTTAACTTGAAACACGAAATGTAACGAATTAAGCAACAATTCAGGTCAAAATGAACTAGAAGGTATTTAAAATCCGACTGAAAAGTCTAAATAAAAAGTATAATCCACGGATTATCAGTACCCACACCCGCCCACCCCTAATAATAGTGGATGTATCTTTTCATGTTATTTATTTTCTCTTTAATAGTTCAATTGCTAGTTTATCATTAAATCACGTATACATCGGTTCCGATTATGTCAAGATTAATCAGATCACTCAGGTTGGTGTGAATTTTGTATCAATAGTAGAAAATAACAAACCTGCCAAAGTTGTTTGGCGAGGTCAATAGAAATAAATCCTACACTGTAGCCCATACCACCTAGATTATAGGTCAAAATATTCCCTCTCAGCTTGTAGTGATTCACTATCAAGGTTGATAAAGATGATATTGGATTAAACAAGCTACAATTCACCACAAGAATTCTTATTTCTCTAGGATTCACTCCAGTTTTTTCCAAGAGCTTGTCAATTTCTCCAACTATGACTGTTTCTGTCTCCTTCCTTGCCCCCACCAAAGATAGGGTTTGAGCGATCTCCATCAAGGCTTTTGTCCCGTAAGTCATCTCTCCAACCCTTGATCTCTCTATGATTTTCTTTATAAAAGCTAAAAAAATTTTGTGCTAGTTTGTGCAGATAATTTCAAGAAATATTCTTTACTGCACATCAAAGCTGGTTTAGGACAAGTCATTATCTAAATGATATGTATAAACTCAAGATTATTCAATTAAGGTAGAACAAGAAACCCTAGATTTATAATCTCACATTCAACCACAAAAATTGATAATGAAAACATGAAAATAAGCATAACAATAAGAAAGGAACATAGAAATTATAGTGGTTCGGTAATCAATTTGATTGCCTGCATCCATTCTCCAAGGTAGCAAGAATTAAGCACTATAAAAGGGAAATCTTACAAAGTTTTTGCACTTCCTAGTATACAATATTATCCCGAGAAAAACCCCTTTGTCTATCACCCGTAATCACCCTTGCCTCACCTCTCATATTTTAAAATATAAGAATTTAAAGAGTATTTATACAAGAACAGAAAAGGACAATTGTATAACAAACCAAGATTCCAAAATCTCACCACACCGTTTGATTCATCTTGCGTCTCCAAAGACTCCACCTCAATCTCCATCACAAAAGATTTTCTTTCTTTATAACAAAGAGAGAAAACTCGAGAAGAAGCAAGCAGAAAATGTTGCGACCTCAAAAAAATTAAATCTAGAGCAGAAATGACACAAAAGCTCTTTCTATTTCTTTAAATACCCTCTGACCATGTACATCAGCCTTTGACTCCACATCAGCCGACAAGTTTACAAAATCAAGTGCCACATCATCATAAATCTCCACCTTGGCACCTGATTTTTCATTCTCTACTACCTAAAAAAAGATGTTTCTCCACTTTACTTAATATGAAACATGCCCTTGAAGAGCCTTAGTTTATCCAAAGTAACAACTTTGGTAAACATGTTTGTTGGATTCTCTTTCTCAGGAATTTTCTCCACCTTGATAAGCTTCTCTTCAATCATATTTCTAATGAGATGAAGTCTCACATCAATGTGCTTTGATCTCTCATTGAAAGCTTGATTCTTGCACAGAAAAATAGCATTATGGCTATCACTTTTGATCGAAATCTATCTCTGAATGTACCCCAGTTCACTAAGCATTCCCCTGAGCCAAATTTCTTCCTTTGTAGCTTATGTGATTGCAACATACTCAGCTTCTATAGTTGATAAAGTCACAATAGCCTACAAATTTGCTTTCCAACAAACCAAGTTATTCCATAAAGAAAACACAATAGACTTCCTTTTATCAAGGTTCTAGCATAATCAACATCAACACACCCCATAATGAAATCCATCTGATCTTGCCCTTTATTGTACACAATCCCAATTGAGATTGTTCACCTAACATACCTTAGAATCCATTTCACTGCCTCCCAGTGACATTTTCCAGAATTACTCGTAAATCTGCTCACATA